ACAGGACTAAGAATGTTAAAAGAATGAGCCTTAAGGCCTTGTGTCTTAATGTGCAGAGCATTTTGTAATAAAGTGGATGAATTAGTCAAAGAACTAGATATAAACAGATTTAGTATAATTGGGATTATGGAGAAATGGCTGCAAGGTGACCAAGGATGGGAACTGAATATCCAGGGGTATTCAGTTTTTAGGAAGGACAGACAAAAAGAAAATGGTGGTGGGGTAGCTTTGCTGTTTAAAGATGGTAATTAATGCAATGGTGAGGAAGGATATTAGCTCTGATGAAGTGTAGCCTGTATGGTTACAGCTTAAAAACACCAAGGGGCAGAAAATAATAGTCAGGGTTGAATATATACTCCCAAACTGTAGTTGTAATGTTGGGGAAGGCATTAACTGGGAAATTGGAGTTGCAAGCAGCAAAGGTACAATTGTAATTATGAGTGATGTTAATCTACATAGAAATTGGGCAAATCAAATCAGTGACAATACCTTTTTTGGAGGAATTCCTGGAGTGTATGGGATGGTTTTCTGGATCAATAGATTGCAAATCAACTAGGGATCTGGTCATTCTGTGTGTTATGATCTCTCGGGTAGCTAGCTCAGACCTGAATATTTAACCAACTTGGTCATTCTCTGTTAACAGTTGCCACTCTTCCCATCTTTCCCTTTATTACTGGAGCTGTTTGCCTTTGGGGCAATTTTTGATTTTAGAGAATGAACAATTTAAGATCTCACCAAATCTAGTGAAATAAGTTTCTCCTGATCTTAGGCCTATTTGTCTGACCCTCTAATGCCAACCTTTACAGTCAAGAAAAACTACCTTTCCACCTCTACCCTGTCTAGCCCTCTTAAGAATTTTTATACACGTTGATATGATCAGCTGTTGAGGCCAGAGAATATGAGCCTATGCTACATAATCGTGCTTTTCTCTGGCAATCATTTCATTCCAGGAATTGGTCTAATAAGCCTTAGTTGCACAGCAAATGTATCCCTCCTTAGATAGGAGACCAAAACTGAGCATAATACTCCAGATGTGGCCTTGTCAAAATCCAATACAGTTACCAGAAAATGTTCCTGACTGTGGTGGTCTAAACCCTTTCCAATGTAGGCTAACCTACAGGTATGACAAGAAATTAGGAAAGTGATTGTATGTTAACAGAATGTACTGCTTTTTGATTTTAAAAATAGTGACATGTGGGAGAGTATATTCCCTTAATTCCCTTTTTCATTCCCCATAGCTCTGGCTCCGCCACTACTTTACTTTGTTGGGAAGAGGGGGATATCCTTACAGACAGCAGCATGTTCAAGAATATGTGAGTGAATGTGGGTTTCCTTGTGCTAGAGCGGGGCATCTAGTGCCATCTGCCCTTGGTTAGAGAACTCTGACGTTCTTCTCGTCGCAAAGAAACCACCCCCTATCCTATCCCCATGACCCTGCATTTCCCATGGCTAATCCACCTAGCTTGCACATCGCTAGGCACTATATATGAGCAATTTTAGCATGGCCAATCCACCCTAACCTGCACTTATTTGGACTGTGGGAGGAAACTGGAATGCTCGGAGGAAACCCACGCAGACATGGGAGAACATGCAAACTCCGGACAGGTAGTCGCCCGATGGTAGAATCGAACTTGGGTCCCTGAGGCTAATCACTGGCTCACCATGCCACCCACGTATGTCCTGTAAGGTTTCAATGTCTGCAAAGCTTGGCCATCTTAAATGGAATAGATTGTAATAGTATTAACTACCCTCAAATCCATTAATGTGCTACCTTCATGCCTGTTTTGGGTTTTTTACAGCCCTTTGCATAGGTGAGTTGCATGTATAGTACAGTATCATATAATAAGGATCATTGTTGCATAAGAAGCTGATTTTGTTGAACAATGACTTTGAAAACTACTATCTCCCAGCCCCCACTGTTACACATGGACTCCTGTAGAGTTGATCCTTGCCCTCAAGCAGTTCAACCCTGTCGACGAGTACTTTCCATCTGACTGAAACTGGAATTTGTCATTTTAGTAGCGTGGCATTGTGAAACATGTGTGAACCTATGCTTTTCCTGTGGGAAGCTGTTCCTCTTGTTCTAACGCTGCAATTCCTACATTGTTTAGGCAGCTGTGTTTCTAAATATTTACTATGGCACATTATTCTGTCATCTTAGCGATATGTCACCTGAGGAATGATAGCAGTTTTGGTGGGTACTAGCTACCCTCCTATAATACCTTGCTGAAGTAGCTATTCCAGTGGGATAACTTTGCTGTGTATGATCTTGTCCTTGTATGATGGGTGCACACATTGCAGTAGGAGTCACTGGACTGGGTTAAACCAATGCTGCAACTCTCCCTGCATTGAATGCACATATTCTGCTGAGCAATCTGAAATGGAACTGAAGAGCAGAGGGCCTGTTTTTGATATGCAGGTTCACAGTTCATCAAAGGTGACAACTGTAAATTGGTCAGTAATGAGATGAGTGTCATCTCTGGATTCTTATTTAGAAGCATGGGATGCAAAAGCAAAGGCTTGATATTGAACTTGCAGCAGACCCCACTGCAGCTGGAGTTTTGGATGTAATTTGACAACTTGAAGTTGAGGCTTTCATTTCAGTGGTTGACTGGTGGTCTGATTTGAGGCCTTTTGAGATTAAGGTTACAACAGGATAATCTTTTTCATGAAACAAAAACAGAAATTGCTGGAAAAGCTCAGCAGGTCTGGCAGCACCTGTGGAGAGAAATCAGAGTTCAGATTTCTGGTCAACTGACCCTTCCTCAGAACATTGATCAGTGGGATAGTTATGGAAAAATAGTTGTTTCTGTGGCATCACCACTGGCTTTAATTAACCAAACAAAAAAGGCACCAATTTAAGATGCTCACAAAGAATTAAAGGAGAGTTACGAAAATGTCTTCACAGTGGGTGGTTAGATTTTTTTTTTTGCAACCCATTATGAAAATCAAAGTTCATTAATTACTTTTAAAGGGATCTGCATTGTTTGGGGGAGGGGGAGGGAACTACAATCTATATTGAATCTGTAACATTTGTAACTTGTTGGGAGGAAAAATACTGAATCCCCACTCGTGCCTGTTGAGAAATTTGTTTTGTAGTGCAAAAACAACTTTGAATGCCCAGGAGTGATGGTATAAAAGGGCATGAGGAGTGAGCAGGAGAGTTGGGATTAGACTAGGTGGCTTGAGGGGGGAGAAAAACCAGGTGCTGATGGAATAAATGGCCTGTTTTGTGCTGCAACATTTCATGATTGGGGAAATTTCATTTTTAAACTTTCCTTGCTTTTTAAAAAAAACTTAGTGTGTGAAAGGGGTCAATTAAAACAATGATGATCACCCTTTTTATTAAAAATTTATTGTTTCATACACTGTGCCCAAACCTAATGCACCTTGAGCTCACCATTAACGTGAGTCACTGCAGCCTGTGCTGTAGGTAGACCCACAATGCTCTTAAGGAGGGAGTTCCAGGATGTTGACTCAGTGACACTACAGAAATGGTGTTTATATTTCCAAGCCAGGATGGTCAGTGAGTGGCTTGAAGGGGAACTGACCACATATCTGCTGCCCTTGTCTTCCTCCTTGACAGAAGTGGTCATGGGTTTGGAAGGTGCTGTCAGAGGACCCTTGATGAATTGTCTTAAGTTTTTTCGCCTTCAATTGGACTTTGTCCAGTTTTGAGAGAGTGGACTAGGTGGATTGCTCCCATTGATCTCTTTCTGGACTGGGGCCCAGATCTATACCATACCAAGCTCTTTGGATACACAACCCCATAGATTCTGCATTCCACAAATACAAAATTACTAAAACCAGCTTTGTTTTCTATCAATGAAGATGCTTTTATGCTGGGAGATGTTTTGGATTTGGATTTGAATTCCAGGGAGCTTGCATTGTTGAGTTGACTCCTGGCTTTTGTATGCCTAAGTCCCTCGTCCTTTTGGCAATTTTGTTCATCTGCAGAAACTGGCGTCTAGTTCTGCCACAAGGGGATGGAAAGCTTAAAGGCAGGAACTGGCATGAATACCTGTCTCTGGGAATTCAAATTTAAGCTGCTGGTGCAGGTGCTGTTGTACTGATTCTAACCTTTTGGCAAGAGGTTGTGGGAAAGCTCGGAACTGAGGGCCAAAAATATATTTGGTGATTATCAAGAATTCAAGAGAAGCTTTTCCTTACCCAGAGAGTGAGGAGGATGTGTAACTCGCTGCCGCTTTGGACCAATTAGCTTGATTTTATGCTGTGAATTTAGGAATGTAGCCATTGTTGAGATTATGTTCTGCTTTTATTGGTTGGAAGTGGTCATGGGTTTGAAAGGTGCTGTCTAAGAAGTCTTGAATTTCTGCAGTGCACCTTAGAGAGTACGTGAGTGTCAGTGATGGAGAGAAAGAGTCTTTATGGGTTTGGTGTCAATCAAGCAGATTCCTTTCTCTTCAATGGTGTCGCATCTTGTGTTGTTGGAGCTGTACTAGCAAGGCAAGTGATGACCATTCCATCACACACTCCTGACTTGATGCTTTGTAGATGGTGGACAGACTGTGGGGAGTCAGGAGGTGACAGTTTTTGTAGCCTCTGACCTGCTGTTGTTGTCACTACGCTTATATTACTGTCAAGGGGTGATGGTTGAATTCTCTCTTAGTGGAATTGGTCACTGCCCAGCACTTACGTGGCACAATAGTTACTTACCACTTGTCAGCCCAAGCCTGGATATTGTCTAGGTCTTGCTGTATTTGGAAATGGACTGCTTCAGGATCTGAGGAGTCGTAAATGATGGGATGGGATAGGTTGAGGTGCTTTTCTAGTGAATCAGCAGATGCGTGGCAGGCTGTATAGCTTCCTTTCTGTGCTGTAGACATTTTGATAATTGTGCCACTCGGCATGTTTATTTTAATCCAGAAGCAGTTGAGAAATTGGCAGGGGAGATGCTGCACCCATTAGCTTTTAAATCCTAGTGACAATTTGAATAGCTTAGGGTGAAACTGAAATTTTTTTTTAATTTTTAAAACCAGGTTCATTGCCAAACCATGTGCCCTGAGCCTTCGAATTCAAGCAAATGGACCACGCAGAGCGCAGCCCAATGCTATCCTAGAAAAAGTCTTTACATCAATCACTAAGGTGAGTGTTGTGGTCCTGGAGCTTTTGCTTTTACCAGAAAGAGCATGTTTTATACAACCAAGGTTGACTGGGTATGCGCCCCCAAACCAGTCTTGTACCACAGCCCAACTCCCTGACTGAATGGGTAGAGCAGCATTCTGCACTTTTCTACAAATGAAAGCGAAACATTGTGGGTGCTGGAAATTTGAAACAAACAGAATGCTGGAGAAGCTTGGCAGTTCTGGCAGCATCCATGGAGAAAGAAACAGAATTAACGTTTCAGGTCCAGTATGACATTTCAGAACTGAAAGGTGTTGGAAATTTTCAAGCAAACACTTTATCCAACTTGAAGTGTCTGCTTATATTTTAAAAAATAACATTTTTTAAACACTTTTTTTTTGGTTGTGAAGAAGTCTAATTGGACTCAATGTTAACTCGGCAGGTCTGGCAACATCAGTGCAGAGAGAACAGCAGAGTTTCTCCAGCATTCTGTTTGTCTACTCTGTACTCAAAGCCTGGTCAGTGTTAAAATAAATGATATTAAATGCTGATGCCTTGGTTGCAGTTTTGTGCTGACCTCCCAAATGTTTGATGTTTTTCCATCTTGCTTTCCTCTTTTTAAGGATACTAAATCTTTCTGTCTATATAAAAATTCTGTGTCTAGGCCATTTATCATATTGCACTTACACCTCATTGACTCAGATATTATTCATAACAGCTACAAGTCACAACAGAACAAATATCCATGAGGACACAATGTATTTTTCAAAAAGAAGTCATTATTTCTCTTCTGATTTTACTTTGAACCTGAATACTCTCTGCTGCTGTTAGAGCAGGGGATTCACACAGTTAAAACTTCTCAAAACACAATCATCCTCTAATTGAAGTTGCTTACAGCAAATGGTTTGTGTGATTTTAAAGAGACTAGCTAACTCCACCCTTGGCAGCAGAACAATACATTGTGTAATTAGATGGCCTAAAATTCCTGTTTTGTAATATAACATCACAAAAGACTTGCAAGTATTGCAAACTCTGACCTGTATAAGTGTCTACCATGAAGTCTTATTTGGGTTTTATTTTGTCCGTATCTTTAAGCTGTGAATATTAATCAATCTTGATATTCTGTTTTAAGATTTATTCATTAGGCAACAACGTTACATCCTTTCCAAACTTCGAGGCCCTATAAAATTCGAACAAGCCAAGCCTCTGGTACAGGAGTATTTAATACTTCTGAAGTACTACTGAAATGCTAGAGCTTTCGTGTGCCAGACTGCTAGGAATAGTGGACTGTAGCAATCGACAAAGGTTCAGACCCTTGAGAAAATGATCTTAAAAGTGGGGATTATGCTGCTGTTGGCTTGCCAGAGGTCTGGCCTGGTGGTGCCACTCCCCAGGCGGCAGTCGTGTACCTACAGTACACAGTGCTCCTTTATGGTGAATTAGCCAATACGGTTGGTTTCCATTCTGTTTAACAGCAGCGAAGGCATCCATTTAGCTATTGTGCCTGAGCTGAAAGCATGTTTTTATGAAGTAAATGTGTGGCATTTTTAATGTTGAAAATTTTAAAAAAAAAAAAAAAAAAAAAAAAAATTCTCAATTGCAATAATTCCAATAACTAGTGGATTGTAGGAATTTGTGTTTATAGTGGCACCTTTTTTTTGCAGCCTTGTGCTGTCCCGGATGTGCTTTTACAACCGATAGATTAGATTATTTTGAAGTTCAGTCTCTTATGGAGGCAAATGTAGTAGCCGATTCTTTGCCTGATAAATGACTATATAATCCCTGTTTTTAGTCTCTTGTGTGGTGTTAACTTGAAGAACATCATGGACAAGGATTCTAAGAAAACATTCTGCTATTCTTCAGATGATCTCTGCCCCACCTGAGCAGGCTGATTTCAGCCTCGGTCTGAAATGTCATTTATAGGGTGACGCCACCAGCAATCCAACAGTCATTCAGTACTGCATGGAAATGTCATCTGAGATTATAGACTTGTGCCCATAGTGGGGCTAGAGCCCACATCTTTGGAGTGTACTGAGCCAAACTGACATCCAAGAAGCAGAGGAAACAAAATGCTTATATGAAACCATAGAAACTTGATGATATTCTTGCTGCAACTCCAGTAACAGTATCTGCGATGCATATAGTCCTAGTAGCTACACAAAGCAAGTCTTGAAATGCAGCATTGAAAGCTTATTTGGTTTGTATATGTATGGTACTTTTGGATTATCATCCTTTTGAGAAATTCTTTCACCAGGAAAGAAAGCTGAAGTATGTGTAAGACTCCCTGGTCCCACTTTTTTTTTAAATCCTTTACTCCAACAAGGTGCGAAGATTAACAGAGCCTGAAATCTATTTCTTAATGCGTAGGTACACTTGAGACTTCAGACCAACACTAGTACAGATTAATCATGTTGTTCTTGAAAATACAGAATGACTATTGCTTCATTATTGTGGTGCGCGGTATGTCTTGTGCCCTGACCATTTGAGTATTAGCTCAAATTTAAATTTAATGTGTGTTCTGGAGAACGTTTGCTTTGAATGTTTCATATGAAAGGCTACTGCCAAGCTTTTAGTGGAGGGCAATTCAAGGTAAAACCTCAGCATGACTGAAGGGAGGGAATAGATTTCTACTCCAGGAGCTGTCTGGTTGGAGGATGAGTGATCGTTGAAATGCCCGAGACTGGTGTTGGGAATTCTACTGGCTTTTGTTTTTCTGCACTTGATTTGGAAGCTTGATGCATACTAGTCACATGCAGTGTGTGGACCAAACCAAGTGGGAATGGGGCTGGGCATGCAGTTGGACAGACCTCTTGGTTGAGCCTGCACAGACAGTGATGACTATCCCAAAATGAATGGCAGGTGAGTCCATGCCAGATCAAAATATTCCCATAATCCCCAATATCTTTCAATATCAATAAAATCTCTGTCTCTCTCCATCTTGAATATGATGTGGAGGTGCCAGTGTTGGACTGGGTTGAACAAGGTCAAAAGTCACACAACACGAGGTTATAGTCCAACAAGTTTATTTGAAATCTCAAGCTTTTGGAGCACTGCCCTTTTGTCAAGTGCTTTTCAACAGAAAGGCAACCCGCCACTATCCTAATCAAGGACTATAAAAGCTGTTTCTCCAGTAATGTCAGATATAACATAGTGTAGAGCTGGATGAACACAGCAGGCCAAGCAGCATCAGAGGAGCAGGAAGGCTGACGTTTCGGGTCGAGATCCTTCCTCAGAAAATCAGTAATCTCCAGTAATGTCCATGGGATGAATTTAAAGACAGTTAATCCCATGACCTCTGCCTAGGTAGATCACCACTGACTGTCTGAACAGCAGTTGTATACTGTAGTGGTTAAGCTAGCATTGGTCCTTTTTGATCAGGTTTGGAGTGTCTTGATTTAAATTAAAAGCTCTAGAATCTTTTTGAGGAAATGCACAAATGCATCTACAGATAATTGACCGTTTATAGCATGTGGATAAAGGATTTTACAAAGCATTGGCAATCAAGACCAATAAAACCTAGTCTTGACTCCTGCATAAACAGTTAGCTTATTGACCCTCTACAATAAAAGCATCATTTCATAAAATGGAAAAATATAGTAAAGTAGCTGCTGTAAATATCTCCTTAACAGTAGTCCTAAATGGTAGAGCTGGCACAGTGACTCGTTCCTGTATTGTAGATCATTCTAGTTGAGTCTGTCGGGAAGTCTCTGGATGATAAATGGGTTGATCAAGTCATTACAGCCACATCTAGGGGGGTGGGGTCAGTAAGGAGGAGGAAAATTCAAATTAAATCGAAAGCTTGGGGATCTTCGGAAGGTTAGTACAGCATTTGAAATTGTTCCTAAAGCCCTTTTTTGTTAAATGTGTTGAAATTTTAAGTTGGTTTTTTTTGTTCACTTCATTTGATGTTTTAGCACCATAAACCTGACCCAAAGCTTACAAACCAATTTTTTGGGTTTTTTTTATTTGCCTTGCCTTGCTTTGCAGTCTTCAGTACAATTAGAAGGAGGCCATTTGGCCCCTTGCATCTGTGACTGCTCTTTGTTGGAGTAATCCAAAACTGAATGCACCACCCCAATCTCTCCTCGCAGCCCTGCATTTTTTTTTCAACAGCAATCATTTGTATTTATACAGTGCCTCTTCTGTAAAGAAACATCCCAAACTGTTTCAGAGGTATATTAGGGCAAATGGATTCTGAGTCAAAGAAAGGATTGGGAGGGGAGATCACAGGCTTGGTCAAAGAAATGAGTTTTGAGTTGGGCATTGTTGTTTTTTAAAGATGGAGATGGAGGGTTATGGAGGAAACACTCCAGTGTGAGGCCAACATGGTTGAAGGCATTGCTACTGTTGTCAGTGTGCAGGGTGCAAAAAATTCAGAAGAAGCCAGAATTTGAGGACAGGTCATTGAGCTGGAGTATGATTACACAGATGGGAAGGAGTAAAATCATGATTAAACTTACAAAAGTTAGTACTTTAAATTTTGATGCTTTGGGGCTGAGCAAGTGGAAAGAAAGAAAGCATCTTCACTTACACAGCATCTTTTATCACCTCAGCTGGGATTTGCACAAAGCTCTCCTCCTAAATTTAGGTCTGCAAGTGTCAGAGTGATGGGTGAGTAGGGATTGTCGCAGCATTGGATAAATAGTGGGTAGAATTCTTGATGCCCTCTGACTTTTCCATTCTTTTATGTTTGGTTACCCCAGCATCTTCAGAATACCATGTAATTCCTTGAGCGCTGTTTGCAGTATGAGGGCTTTTGACAGCAAAGGGCCTTTTAGAGTTGGTGATTGAAGAGAATAGGTGAAAGGTGGTCTTTAAACTGTGAAACTAGGAATATTTTGAAGGGGCCACAGTGGGTATGCTGCACGACTACTTCCTGAAGAGCTTGGAGTGTCTGAGGTGGTTACCTCTCGAGCTATTGGATTTAGGAGCTCTTCCGATCCGTGATAAGTGCGTTTTATCAATTAGAACAGCTGTACTGCCATGACAATTATCTGTAGGAGCCCTGTGTTAAATGGGTTGGGATAGCTGGGAGGTGTGGTAGCACAAAACCAATCTGGGTGCCTGGCTGCTCATCCAGTAAATTGAGTGCCATTTTGGAAGGTATGCCAAATTAGAAAGAAGCTGCAGGACATAAGGAGTGATGAGATATGGGGCACATCATTGGTGGCAATCAGCAATGAATCAGTTTGGGAACAGTGTATTGACCCAGAGGCCTCTGTGCCACTGCTACTAGACCCATTTACACTCAGCTAAAATGACATTCTTGTACCTCCTGGCTGCATTATTAAACAACAACTGTGCACTCTGTTGTGTACAGCTATTGAGTCACGTGCTGGAACAGCCTTTGATCTAATATGACAGAGTAGCATCTACATTAACCGTGTGTTTTCTGCCATTGAAGTTCTGTTTTGTACTGTCCACTCTGCAGCAGCTTCTGCCTGTTTTTCCCCTTTGTCTACCCACCCTGCGTACATTCTGAGAAACGTACGATGGCCAATGCTTTGGCATTTGGCCCAAGTGGAATTGGATGCATTAAAACGGTCAGCTTCTGGTCAGAATTGTTCCATTTCACTTTCAGGGCATGGATAGCAGCCACTCATCTTTGTGGTGCTGTAATCCTACGCTATGCATGATCTACTGTTTACCTGCTCCCACCCCATAACATCCTGTTCAAGAAAATGTCCTGTCACTGCAGTTTAATAAATGCCACACTTCACTTTTAGTGATGCACTTTAACGAAGCTCATTTCTCATGCCACCTGTTTGCTGACTTTCAAAAAGTTTGTGTTCACTCTCCTCTGCCTTGGGGAAATGCATCAGTTGGTGTGTGTTGGTGAGTTTGCATCGATTTAGGAAGGCCCCAGGTTTGATCTCTTCTCTTGGGTATTCTTGGGACAGGTCACTAATTTAGTTTGGCACATCCTGAGTGCTGGAGAGGGAAAAGAAATGAGTTAGGATTCCTGCTCACAGTGCTGAGTTTTGTAGGGAGGACTATGTCAGATTCTGTTTTGATGCCCTGCGCAATTGATTTAGTTTGCTGATGCTTGCTGTCTTGGTTCAGTTGTGAAGAACAGGCACCTTGGGCAATATGTTTGACCTGCCAGTACCTGTGAAGCTATTTGAGCACAGGCAGTACCACCTGGAGCACAGAGGGGGTGAACAGTTCCTTTCATACTTAAACTCCCATGTTACTCCATTCAACAGTCCCCTAACACACAAGCAGATGTATTGCACTGATGAAAAACTCACCATGTGAATTCACAGCAGGTAGCCCTTATTGAATTAACATTATTTACACCTGCCCAGCAAAGAGGGCAATACAACAAAGTGCTCAGATCTTGCAAATACTGCAGGGATGTTTTCCATTGTGAGGGTGAGAATTTTTAAAAAATCGTTGTTTCCGCAACCTCTTGATGCCCAATGTGCTATCAGCTTTCAATTGAATGAACCGTGTATGTTTCCAATTAAACTCCAAAAAATCGTAATGTCTGAAGCTTTACAATAAAAATATCAACTGCTCTTCCTGCATCTCTTTAATCACCTTGGTTCCTTTCTTATTTCCTTGCTTTTAGGAGGGTGGCTAGCCATGTGTGCTAATCTAAGTAAACAGTTCCTCTGAGCCCTGTAGTCACCCCTTTTTAGGGAACAATGCCGAGTAAGTTTTTTTTCTCATTAGTTTGTTTTTGTTTATCCTAGTTTTCTGGATAGAAAAGTCTTGTGGGTCTAGTGTCTGTATCGTTTAACAATGTTATGTCAAAAGACTTCTGCAGGACTGAATGTTGGCACAAGTTAATTCTAGTGGATCATGATATGCAATGAAGTTTTTTTTTAAACCTGTTCGGCACATCTCTATTTGAGTTTATGAATGTCTCTGACTTAAGTTACTTCAGCTAGATTGAGCATTTTACTTTTGGGGTGGTGGGGGGGGGTGGAGAGAAAACAACATTTTTGTACATATTAAGGACAAGGGTTAGTAATGTTCAGGATATTTATTTCAATTCAACTTTGCAGTTCTATTCTCCTATTAAAACAACATTCATGTACCACATCATACCATGCGCCATGTTTTTGAACGTTGTCAGTTATTGCTGGAGTGGTTTCTGGAAACCACTATATGGGCGGCATGGTGGCTCAGTGGTTAGCATTGCTGCCTCAGCGCCGGCAATCTGGGTTCGTTTCTACCCTCAGGCAACTGCCTGCGTGGAGTTTACATGTTCTCCCCGTGTCTGCATGGGCTTCCTCCGGGTGCTCCGGTTTCCTCCCACAGTCCAAAGATGTGCAGGTTAGGTGGATTGGCTGTGCCAAATTGCCCATAGTGTTCAGGGATGTGTAGATTAGGTGGGTTATAGGGGGATAGGTCTGGGTGGGATGCTCTGAGGACTTGTTGGGCCAAAGGGCCTGTTTCCACACTGTAGGGATTCGATGATTCAGTGATTCTTAAATGTGAGCTAATGAATATATTCTTTTTCTTTCTTTCCTTCTGCTCAGTCTCCTGATGAGAAAAGACTTGAAGGCCTGTCGAAACAGCTCGATTGGGATGTCCGCAAAATTCAGCGCTGGTTTCGACATCGAAGGAATCAAGATAAACCAAGTACCCTCACAAAATTCTGTGAGAGCATGTACGCCTTTTTTTCTTTTCCCCCACCCCCCTCGCCTGTTACTGAGTCTCCAATTGTATCCCAT